GTGTGTTTGTTTGTTTGTTTTGCGCGGGTGTGTGTGTTTGTATGGGATATATTTAATATATTTTATTCTTTAAAATCGTCATTAGCTACACTTTGCTCCTTCATTTTATTTCGAAAAGAAACATGTTTTTGTTTATACCCACCGTGTATACAACTATAATAATCTAATGATAAAAGATAATAAAAATGAAAAAAAGTAAAAATATCAATACGAAAATTGAACCCAAATATTGATGATTACATCTAGTACGAACAGCTTCTACTATCGATCTTCTTTTTTTTTACAGTGCAAAAGTTACAACCATTTATTCAACGCAAACGCAACAATGCAATATGGCAACTCTTGCAAGCGCAAATAGTCGGCAATCTGACATCTTTGGCAACATTGTTAAGATATCTCCAGGCAAGCGCGCGCGTTTTTTGAGGTCAGTCTTTTGTTTTATTTTACGTTGATTTTCTGTGTTGTGGAAAAAAAATGGCTGTGTATAGGCCTTTTTAATTCGCATGGTTCAACGTTTTTTAAAGACATTTCGGCGTATTTTGTTTATTTATCTTTATTTATTTGGTAATTTTCATTTATTTGTTGATATTTCCGAAATGGAGAGCTCAGCACAGACATATACAAATAGACACATAGATTAAGGGAAAAAGGGTATCCATATTTGGAATCAACGTAAGATTTCTTAACAATAATAATCTACATCTTATGATTAAGGAGTTACAAGCTTAAACGAAATTCAAAATATTTTACGCTACACCGAAAACGTTCTCGCAATAGGCCTATATGATGATAAATACATATATTTTTTTTCTTTTCAATCTACACTCTATGATTAGGAGTTACAAGCTTAAACGATATTCAAAATATTTTACGCTACACCGAAAACGTTATCGCAATTTGCATGCGATAGGCCTATATGATGATAAATACATTTATATATTTTTCTTTTATTTCATCAGAGAGAATGGTTGCCACAGAAAGGTTTTTCTACTTGCTTTTGGCCGCCATTAGCAACCATGTCACCTGCAGGAAGCTGTTTCCCTCGCCAGGTATGTTGCAATAATTAGGTTCTATGATTTTTTATATCCTCTTTTCCCAAAAAGAAAAAAAGAAAAAAAATTAATTGATCAGAAATTCTGCTGTTCAGGATAAAAAAATCAGGTTAACATATGATATTTCCATTGATGATATGGAGCTGTCTGAAACTCACAGTAATTTTCCTTATTAATAATGAATTTCCGTGAAATTTTACTCGTTCAGTGCGTCTTTTTTATGTTAATTACCGCGGAACAGAGACAAAGCTTCATATATCACGATGCATTTTATATCGTCATTGCTATCAAGATATCTGGTAGTTATAACAAAGTTAGAATTTATACCAACCTATCTCTTTGTCTAGTTACCTACTTACAAAATAACCCAATTTACCAACCTACAACCAACCACGCTACCTACTTACAAACCAACCAGTACCTACCTACGAACCATCCTACCTACCTACTTATAAACTAACCATCCTACCCACTTACAAACTAACCAACTGCCCTACCTACACAACTACCCACCTACCTACAAACCAACCAGCCAACCCACTTACCTACCTACAAACCAACCACCCTACCTACCTACCTACTTAAGAATCAACCATTCCACCCACCCACAGACCAACCACCCTACCTACCTACTCCCCCACCTACAAACTTACAACAGCCAACACACATACAAAGAAACCATCCTACCTACTTATTTATAAACCTACCATCCTAGCCCTTACAAACCAACCAACACCCTACCTACACAACTACCTACAAACCAATCCAACTTACCCACCTACTTAAGAACCAATCAATGCTTAGCCAACTTACCTCCCTACAAACCAACCACCCTAACTACCTACCCTCCCACCTACCTACCTACAAAACAACCCACTTACCTACCTACAAACCAAGCCCCCCCTAGCTAACCTACTTACAAAACAACCCACTTACCACCTACAGCACCCCTACCTACTTACCTACAAGCCTACCACCCTACCTACCTACCCCCCGCAACCTCACTCTACTACAAGCCAACCTAACGCCTACCGTACCCCCCCCAACGTTACCTACCTACAAGCCAATCACCCTACCTACCCCCTTTAACCCATGGCTGTGTCGCATAGCACTTAGAAGAAAAAAATACAACGATACTCGTCTTAATTGCCGTTTCCAATGCTTTATTATCGCGTCCCAATTAAGCCTTCACCCACGGTCGCATGGTAATTAACAAACAATGTCTAGCAGCTGTAAACAAACCATTAGTAACAGCGAAAAGGTCGGTAATTGACAGTTATTGCCGGAGGTGCTGCAACTTCAATCAACTTGCGTTTTTCGATGCAAATTTTCGTATGAATGGGTGAACATGAATAAACATGAATTTGAGTTCGGTGACGCTATGTGTGAGTGCTGCTACAATTGCTGTGTGAAGTGTAAATTTATATATATAGTAATAAATAAATTAA